GCCCCCAAAGGCCCACCTGCCAGGTGGTGGCTACAAAAGGGGACCTAGGAAGAGAGAAGAACTTGGTAACTTTCTAAACATGGAAATAATTCCAGTTTGCAGCTACATGTACGCGTAGAATAGTTTCCACTTGGCCATTTCCAGAATGAGCAGTAACAGTCAAAGTAAAAAGGGAGTAAGAAGTCTCCAAGACTATTTGCTCTCACTGTAAAAGTCATCTTTAACACAGTAAATACATGATGTAGGAGTTGCACAATACATATATTTCACATTTATGAGAAGATTTGTGAGCAGATCTGGTTCAACTATAGCTTTGCTTTCACTGCCAGCAGAAGGGTACAATGGGGTTAAACCATTACTTAAGATAGATTTAAAAAAAAAAATAAATGCAATGGGCAACAAAAATCAACTTGTGTTTTATAAGCTAGAACTAGGTTTAAAGTAGAGACCACTGTAGGGGGAAATACATTAGCAGAAATTAATAATTTGTGTTGGACTTCTAAAAACCTACTCAGCTATCAGCTACCCGAATGGATCAGCTAAAGCTGGAAAAAGCAGATTACATCTTACATGACCTATCATTTACCTACCTACCTTTTCACAGTGCCGTATGGCACATTCTGCAGAACATTCACGATTCATCCCTATCTGCCAAAACAATCAGATTTTTTTGTTGTTGTGTATTTCCAAGACTCAAAACTCAAGCACAGTATTACATTAAGCTGACAAATCACAACGTAGGCTATTGAAACCCTGAGCACTCCCTCCAAATAACAAGTCTGGTTTTTATATCAAAATAGAATTATTAAAAAAAGACATATTTCCGTATGTACCATACATTATATACTGCTGAGTCAGACAACACTTAAAGTACTATATCCAGCTGTGCCAAGCCACCGCTCTTGGCCAAAATCCAAGCTGAAACAATGCGGCAAGACAAACGGACAACTGACCTTTACCATTTCTAGCAAACGATCACTTTTTTCCCCCTTCCTTCTAGTAAAATGTCCGAGTCCAAGAAGAATCCCAGTTAAAGAGTAACAGCAGAAAAGTAACTTCTCCTGGAAGGCAGGCTTTGGACTGCGACCAACCAACAAAACTTTTTCCCCCCTTCCAGATTCTCCTCCTCTTTCATGGCTTCTCTCGGCTCTTGCCCTTTCTTAAACTTCCTTAATGATCCTTATCCCCCACAAGCTTAAGTACTAGGAATGATTTCAAATGTAATAAGAGAAGCCATAACACTGCCAATGGGGCCCAGTTTTTGTAAATTCTGGCTGTAGGCTAAGAGAAAAAGCACATAGAAACCCCTGCGTCGCTGTGTTGTTTCTCATTGTCCTTCACTCCCCCCACAATAAGCCACATCTCCAGGAAGTTGGAGGAATAAAAAAGTCAAGCGATGGATTTAATGTATATACCATGCAGAAGTCCTACGAGTGTGTGTTGCTAAAATCATTTCCTTGAAATTTAACAGTTTTCACTGGTGTTTGTGTAATAAATCACAAATAATATCCCAGCAGAGACAGACACCATCAAACCCTCTAATTCTTCAGTGAAGCTTTTACCAAATGCTTTCAGGCTGTTTTACTCCTCTTCCAGATGCTGCCTCACTTCTTCTATTGAAGAAAATCTCGGGCAAATTGTCTCAGCCTACTTTTTTCCTCCCTCTCATTCTATTCACCTTCTCCTTAGTTTGCTCCGCTGCGATCGATCAGCAGCTTCCTCGCTCAGGTGGGAGAACTTGCTAAAGCAACCCCAGAACGAAGCTGCCCTGCCGTCTGGAGTTTCACTGCTCCTCAAGAAGATTTTGAGTATTAGCTGCTGAAACACCGAGCTCATGAAGATTTTGAGTATTAGCTGTCGAAACGCTGAGCTGCAGCTCCAAGTTTTGCACATCAGCACAAGCACTGGCAGACTCTTCTATAACCCCGAGACAGCCATTTACTGACTACTGCCGATTCATTCGCATCGAACAAATTTCTGAAGTTCCTATTCTGCTTGTTAACTTCAAAATACCTCCTACCGTTCATAGGAAAATTGATGAGTTTTCTCCGTCCTGATTATCACTTGTCTCATTAAAGGCAGCACGCTGTGCTATCCTTTGAAGGAAAATCACTCAAAAATTGCATGACATCAATTCAAGACTGCGTGTCTATAAAGAGATTATTACACACTTTCCATTACAACAGTCAGATTAAATACTACCTGAACACCAGGACAGAACTGCAGCTTTTCTTCCCATATGTTTAATATATAATTAACGTTATGAATAGTCAAATAATTCTATGAATACCAAGAAATATTTACAATTGGAAATTGAAGTTTAGCAATTCTAAATTCTCAAAATCCCAGCCTTCAATTCACACAACCAGTACCTGGGGGGGGGGGGAAGACCACAGGAACCTGGCAAGATAGTCCTTCCTTTGTTTCTAAAACAAATCCCAATTTTGTTAAGTCTTCTGCAAGATAAACAAACAAATCCACAATACATCACCTTAAACTAACCCAGTTTAGACCAAATATTTTTGACAAGGTTCAGGAAGAAAGAGAATTCCTGCTTCGAACCCAGGGTTCATTAGCGTCGCAAACATCTTAAAAAGAAGATGGAGTTGCCTCTATTTTATGGAAAAAAGGAAAGCAAACCCAAACAATGTTGTTTTTAAATTGGACTTGGTAGTTTTAGCGTGTAAAAATCCTTGGGAAGTAAGAACAGCTTCCATAAAGGCTAGAAATAATGAATTTTTATGCATAACTCAACTAGGAGCCACCCTAAAATTCTTTACACATTCCTTAAATTAAGAAAAAAAAAAATCTATTAACTTAGGGCAAAAGAAAGCAATAAAATACAAGGCAACCTTGCAGGAAGCAAGAACGTAAACCCTTGCAGCACAATGCTGTTCACACTATCCAGTGGTGGATGCAGACCTTTGCCTAGGACGCCGAGGATGCTCCCTCGCCTACGACAGGCGCCGCGCCGAGGGCTCCTGCCAGCTCCCCGCAGCACGCCTGCCTATCGCTGCTGCTCAGCTCCAACACAAACACACCGAGCACACTCCTCAAAATTGCTTCATAAAAGCAACGATAACATCTAGCGCTGCTGTCCTTTTTACTCTAGGATCAGATGTATCCTGCACACATCAGTAGCTCGAGTGGGTTTTTCATCACAGCGTTATCAGAGACGTAGTACGTAAAACTGGTGTTTATGAAATTCCCCAAAAGCCAGACAAACATCTACGTGTAAACCATTTGCCTACGGATGCGCTTGGTTCTATCAAACTAGTTCTGTAAAACAAAAACAGTGCATGAACTTTACAGAAGGAGTCTCAAAAGCGATGTTTCCATTATCTACAAAGAATCTGCTTACTTAAACAGTCACTGAAATTCACCTCCCAAACCCAGAAATAGTTGTTCTTGTTTTGATAGATTTGAGAATGATTGCCATTAAAGATACAGCGAGAGCAAAATAAAAAAAAGCACCAAAAACCCCCCCGTGAAACAAACTAAAAACAACATGGAAGTTGGCCTGATTATGCAAAAGATTAGCACAAAGGATTTCTACTCTGTCAAAAGAAATAAGGCATGTTCAAAATTCATATATCAAAGTGGAATTTATCCACAAATTCCAATTTTCCCTTCTGGATTCCTTACATTACAAATTGTTTCAAACACTTCAGAGAAAAAAAAAAACAAACCAACAAAAACACATCTTCACTACAAAAAGCAAAAACTATGAAAGAAATCTAGAATGAAAGCAAACTAAAAGTTGTCTTCCTGAAACAAAGAAGAAATCCTCACACACCTCATTCCAACCGTGGGAAACCAGAGGATACAACGTGTGGGGAGAGCCCTGGGACTGGCAGCTAACACTCTGGGGATCAATTGTCAGTGGGGCAATAAAAACCAGAAAGTTAAATCAGAGACTTCATTAAAAGCCTGCAATTACTGGTTTTACATATATGGACTCAAAGAGCCATTTTCTGACTAAGACTCCACAGAAATGCAGCAAAAACCTCTTCCTCCATTGAGACCAAACACTCTGCTTGTGCAAGTATATGCGAAACAAAGAATAGCGAAGGAAAATACGCAGCTAGGAGTTCATCCTGAAATCAGAACCTGTCCCCGGCTGCGAGGAGACGTACGCACCTACCCGCTGAGAAAGCTGCCACCGGCGCGCTTACTCTTGAAGGGTGGAAGAAAAGTATTTTACTTGAATATCTGCACTGTTGAATCACATGTAGAAAACACTACTACAAAGTCACTTGAAATATGTACTAACCAACTCCCTTAAAACACCCTGCCCTCAAAAAAACACCTATAAACAAGCCCTCCTCCAGTTCTATTTAAGAGTTAAATTCCAGGTATGTTTAAATCTTACTGCAAATATTATCTCTTTAAATGCAGTTATTAAACAAACCGCTGAGTATTTCCTACTCGGAATCTTCTTGTCCATGTAAGGCAAATGCAATACCAAGCAAAGCTAAAACTCTGGTTCAGCTTAAATGTAATTCTAGAATTTTACCCAGCAACCAAGTTATTTTTGTGCATAACACTTAAGTAACAGTAGGAAGAAAAAAAAAAACACCACCAAAACAAACCACCACACTGTGATTGATCCTCTAACCCCTGAGAATGAAATAGCTTTCATATATACTTAAATACGTCCTTCTACACTGCCTTATATATGGATCTTTCCACCACGTACTCATTTTCCCTCTAGGTTGTATCTTAGAATTTCTTTTCATTATTTATTTCTTTTTTAAAGCATACCAGCTCCACTCCTCTTTTCTTCCCTTTAATATCAATAGTCAAGTACTTGGTTAAAGCTACAATCGTGCTATGGGATAAATACACACAGAGTGATGTCTGGTCAGACAGCCATACGTAACGAATGAAAAAGGGATGACTGACTTTGAAAGGAAAAAAACAAACCACAAACCAGCATGCATGCATCTGCGCTAAACATACTTGTAGTATTTTAATAAAGAGAAACAAAAACTAATTACCTTGAATAGCCATTAGAGAAAGCAGGTCTGCCAGAAAGATTGAGCGTCCCCAGAGGAGCCAACGTCTCATCCCCTGATCCCTGGCACCTATTCCAATTTTCTGAACCGGCAGGAAGAGATGGAATGATATTAAAAATTGGTTTCTGATCCTGCTGCTGAGAGAGCGATGCAGTATTTAAATCATAGTGATACATCTGTCCCCCAGAGGTACTGACACCATGGATAGATATGGCAGAGACTTTAGTACCCAGCAGATTAGACCCAGAGAAGTTTGCCTGACAATAAATTGGGCCCATGTTTTCTTGCTTTATGCCAGGAGTACAGAGTTCAATGAAGTCTTCCTTTTCTGTTTTCACTTGAGGCATCGGCATTTTGGAACTAGGCAAAAGGTCACCACGGTCATTAATTTTAGGTTTAGTGTCAGATAAAATAGGAGGCTTGCAGTCTTCACCGAGATTTCCTTCCAGGAGAAATGCATCATCTGCAGATATAGGGGACAGCAAGCCACCGTCATCTAGCAACGGGTCAAGCCTCCATGGGCTCCCATTGGGCTCTTTGCCAGGTGATACCGGTGGCAATTCTAAATCCTGGAGAATATCCAGGGTGCTTTGGTCTTCAGAGAATAATTTCAAGTTGCCACCATTCGAGCCAACCTGGCTTTGGACTGCAGTTCCTGACTCTAAAGGGACCTTGCGGCCAGCCATGCCTGGGAAATCTGGCTCAAGCGACACCTCAGAAGATATTGCTCCCTTTGCGTCCTCAGCCAGGCTCGAGGACTTGTTCAAGCTCGCAATACTTTCTTCCAGGAGCCTGAAGTCAGTTTCTCCAGAAGAGATGCCGATTTGGCCCTGCTGCGCAAATCTAAGGTCATTGCCCATCACTTTTGCATCTGTTTCACCCATGTACAGTCCCATCGAGAGCGACACTGCCTTGGAAAGGTCTGGCTGAGGCACATTGTTTACTAATCCTTTTGAAAAGTCAGCCAAAGCAGGTTGCTGATTGGAATCTGACTGAGAAGACACAGGGAGAGGAGATGTAGACATAGGGGCCTGCAGAGTAGCTCCACCCCTGAAAGGTGGATGAAAGTCCATCACGATCCCTCCTTTGGTACTGATGAGTGCATTTTTCCTTGTTTCGTCTTGATCCGACGGGTTCAGCAATTCTTTGGAATCCATTACTTTAGCTAAAAAAAGATCAGAAGCATTCAAAGTTAGCACAGCAAGGATATTTTAATAATGTCTTAGAAAAAAAAAAAAAAAGTCTACATTGTTAGCCTGGCAAACCTGGTTTAGCTACTCTGAGAACAAAAGCACAGCAAATCAAGCTACAAACTGACACGTGCCACATCTTTCAAAAACCCTACTGTTTTGGGGGTTTTTTGTTGTTTTGTTTTGTTTCTGACTGGTAACAAGGAAGTGTATTTTTTTAAAGCTTTGCCAAACGTGGATGAAGTGGTTAAGTCTGCCTGCATGCAACTCAGAATCAGGCTACAGCATAACACATCTTTCTGAACACACTCTCTAGCTCTGTCACCCATCCCGGCAAGTACGGAAGCGTAAGAATTGTTAAAGTACCCAATTCGCACATTTTGGAAGGTAACTTTCCCTGGTATTTAATGACAACTTGAGCAGGGCAGGGGAGGAGGACATTCACCACCTTTCCCCAGGCAGTTCCCTCTCTCCCTGCAGGTTCAGATGCATCACCCACAAAAGGGTCCTGAAACCTCCCGAGCCAGCTCTCAAACACAGTACCTACCAGCCAGAAAAAAAAATAAAAATAAAAAAAATTAAAAAAAAATCTAGAGTGGCTTGTTATTCTCCAAGAGCTACACCACCTCTCCACCACAAAACACAAAGTTTGCTATCTTTGCATAGGTTCAGCTTAAAATACAACTCGTGAATCTTGAAATAAACTCAATTCTTTAAATAAATCTCAAATTTATAAATAAAAAGCTAACTAAAAATAAAGTAGAATTTTTATTAGCTTCCAACACTTCAGCAGCTCACGGCTATTCTCCAAACACATCTGACACCGAAAACAAATCTCTTAAGTTTCATCTGTTTGTATTTACTACACTTATTTTCAGCACAGAGCACAGATATTTGGAGAATAACTGTAAATTCTCCGGCAAACTTTCTACACTGTTTGTCTACGGCCTGACACTAACAGCAAACAACAAACAGAGATCAGCTCGCACTCCCCCCCAGTCCGTAAGAGGAGGCAATGCCCAAGTTAAAAGCCCAGCCACGGAATTATCCATGAAGCAGAGCGACCCAAGAGTGTCACAACAAGTTTACGGTCGTCTTAATTACAAACCCAGCAGCTCTGCCGCCCATTTTCTCCAGACTCCCGATGAACGCTGCTGCTTACTGTATGCCAAAGTTAAGGCTGAGATCAACAAAAAGTCCCCACGTGTACAAATTTTAAGCTTTGGCCTGGGTGAAAGCGTCCTGAGCGGGAGAAGCTCAACGCGAAAACCCTTTCTTGCTCCTTCAACACCGCTTCGTCCAGCCTTTCCGAGCGCCCCAGCAGAGGGTCCCTTACCCGTGCTCGCCCAGGTCACGCCCGGGCAGCCCCGCTCCCGCTTGCCCGCTGGGACCACAGCACGCAGCACAAAATGGGAACGGGGCAGCCCCCCGAAATCTCACGGGCTGCAAACAGCACAGAAATATTCCTGGGCCGTTTAAGGTGGATGCGGCAACAGTGACTGGAAAAAAATGATATATATCTACCTCCAGTTTTGCCCTTTTTTTTTTTCCCCCCCCCAACACGAAGGGGAGGAAAAAATGTAGTTATTCCATTTGACAATTTCTCCAACGTCAAAAAAAGCAGCGAACCATCCAGCAGAGGTAACGTGTCAAAAATCAGATGCAAGAGTCTGCCCAAAGGAGGAAAAAGCTGCGAGTACTTAAAACTGCCCGATTACAATAAATTCTCCTTTGCAAAGTATAGTTTTCAGAGAAATGTGTCGAGACCTGTTGAGCTGTCTCCCTGGCACACCCACTTCTGCAAAATAAGACCAACCCATGGCTGCAAGGCTGCACTCCGAGCTCGGCTCCCCCTCCTCGCTCCTCACCCCCTT